CGGGGCGTCCGCACCGCAGACGCGCGCGTTCGAGGAGACACACAATCGCCCTCGCGCGCACGCCGCTACCGCCCGCTCCGCCGCCGTCGCCCGCGCCGTCGCCCACGCCGCCGCCGCCGCATCCGCCATGCAGAGACCGGCCTTTTGGCGCGTCCCGGTCAACAAGCCGGACCCCGACGAGAGGTTCTATGTGAGTGTCCGCCCCCGGCGGCGACGAGCGTGTGACGCGCGCCCCGCAAGGGCTGCTCACGGACACGTGCCCGAGGCGGTTCGCTGTGGACAGGATATTCCCGTAAACACTTTCGACAACTTAATAGTGCTCGAAATTGTTTTAAAGTTTAATTTCACTCCAGTCTTCAATTAAATGTTAACACAAAAAATATGTAACATACGAAACTGACAGCATGGACGTTTGCTTAAATGGCTACCAATCATGTCACCTTCCTCCACTATGTCTTTTAGTTCACTCACTCTTTCATAAAACGTGTTCATTTCATTATTGGATATACAATTCCGGCAATGCGGTCGTTGATAAAAATTTTTGAAAACTTGGTTTGCAATTGTAATAAGCTGATAAAGAAAACATGCCGTGGCTATGCAGCTATATTGCAACAATCATATCACTAACGCTTTTGCAGCCCTTTTGAACGTGAGGTTAATTTAAAGTATTGTATTAGTACACAATGCGTCCTATTGTGTGAGAAAACATGGACGTTAAATTCGTTGACACGAAATATTTTTAAATACGTCCCTAGTATTACCTCAATACTTTCTTGTGTGTATGTATGTCCATTTAGTGCGACCTTCACTGTTTCCTGCTATCCTACTAAGCATGTTGATAAGAATGCCAGTTGCTTTGTGAGTTTTTACTTCGAAGAGTCGAAGGAAATACTTATCGTTTATATACTATCTCTGAAAATAAAATCTCTTCATATTTGAAATAACACTTTTGGTAATGGACATTTCATCAGCATGTGTTTTCGCTATGAACGGTATTCAAGAGGCGAGCTCTGAAGTAACAGTGTTAATAAAGTTCAAGTTCATTAGGAAATTCATTTCGAAGTGACTAAAATAAAATGTATTTAACGTATCTTTTTCAAATTTAGTTAAAAATAATTTTTATTTTTTAAAATTACACTTTGAATTTTTAGTATAGAAATGTTCAGCGTCAAAGGCTCTTAAAACATTAAATAAGATCAGCAAATTTTGATTCTAGTGTGTGAAAGTGAGAAAGAAGAAAACTATTAATGTATTTTATGTATTCATGGTTATTAGTGAGTGTGGCCATCCTGGTGTATTACACTTCTATTTCAGAAGTCACATTAAACAAATGCTTCATAAAAGTACAGAAACTTAAACTAGTGAGTTATTTCACAAAAACTATTTAATATCAGTAAATAAATCCCATTTCGAATGATTGCTTATTCATTTCGATCTTAACAATATTCACCAGATTTAAATATTTTTTTCTAAATAGAACATGAGGCGACATTATGTATTTTGCATTATTCATGAGTGTTGAGAAGATGACACTAGGTTTAATCCAAACTAAAGGTTGTGGTTAAATAATTACAGAGGTTCCTTGCACGTAGGTAGTTCATTTGGGCTTGACTCAATGTGAAGCGATCAGCCCTCGACCTGAGTTAAGAATAAACTAGGAAATTGTGCCTCGTGGTCGTGACCTGCTCCCAAGACGAACACGGAACCCCTCTGAACAACAAGTCTTTCTCTTGAGCTCTTCGTTCGTCTGTCGGAGAGCGTGTGCCTACACGGCACATGTAATACGTCCAAAGCAAAGATATTTCATATTATCAACTTGATTCCATGATGCAGATTCGTCCATTGGGATGCGCTACGTTCGAGTCCCGACGCGGGAGGATCTTCGGCACCTGATAAGTAGCTGATACAAATGAATCCACTATCTGAATTCTAGAGGCCGGTTGCCTTTATCAAATTGTGGAGAGATAGAGGAGGGGAGGGGAGGGAGAAAACCAAAGAGAGTGAGAGAGAGAGAGAGGAGGTGAGAGGGAGAAAACCAGAGAGAGGGGTGAGAGAGAACCAGAGACAGAGTGGTGAGAAGAAGAAAACCAGAGAGAGAGAGAGAGGGGTGAAAGGGAGAAAACCCGAGTTAAAGAGAAAGTCAGAAGGAAAGAAAAAGCGAGAGAGAAACAAAAATAAAGAGATAAAGAGAGATAGAGAAAAAGAGAAACCCAGAAAGCGAGAAAGAAAGAAAGGTTTACTGAGAGACAGGAGGGGGTGTTGGACACCAGTGCACTTCCAGACGCGTCTCTGCAATGTCAGAATATCGCATGCGCTTAACACTTCTGACGTCGTCTCGCCTGGCCGAGCGCCTTGCCACCGGACCGCCGCGCGATTTGTCTCCCCGCGTCACGTCCGCTTTTCAGCTGTGGTTCCTCGCGCCAAGATGAGCCGTGACCCGCATGCGACCACGCAGTCCACGCCAGGAGTCTCGCTTTTTTTCTTGCCCTAGGAGTTCCAAGGGCGCGGCATTGCGCCCTCCATTGTACGGGACGTTTGTTACGCAAGTGGTTGACTAATTCAGACTATGCCATCCATTCTGCAATTTGAATAAGTGTTCTTTAAATGCCTCCTGATATTTGGTATACGAGAGGATCTAATCCGTAATGAGCGAGTGGTTTAAACTGAAAGAAGTGTATCTCAAAAACCTGTACATTAAAATCTGACAATATTATGATTCAATTAGATTCCTCTAATGTAAATCCCTTGTTATATTAAATGTTTTATTAAATTTGTTTGTTTTTAATAGCTACGAACTTGTTAATTTTATTGCATTACGATCATAAAAATAAGGAGTTTTTAAAAAAAGAATGAATTTGTGCTGACATCTTTAATATATCAAAGAGAATGTCATAAATACTGGAAAACATACGCATATTTTCTAGATCAGTATTATGTTCAAGCTTTTGATATTGAAATACTTTGCCATCGTCAGACTGAATATGTTATATTATATGTATGTCGTTTGTATTAATCAGTAAATTATTGTACAATGTGCTTGACAATACTAGGAGCAAATAGTTTAGCAATATTTTAATAATTCTTGTGTAAGAAGAAAACATATTAAGATATATTATGTCCAGGAAAATAAAAGAACTACATTTCGGAAAAAACATTTTTTCAATACAGAGCCTATTGTATATAATAATAATAATAATAATAATAATAATAATAATAATAATAATAATAATAATAGTAAGGACTTAAAACTAACGTGTAAAAATATAAAAATGTCTTTGATTATCACTACAGATTTTCGTTTTGATTTCCCTCCCTCACTTAAGCAATAAAACGTAATTAAAAAACAATGAATTTTTTAAGTAGTCCAACATCATCTATATTTCTAGCTCCAGATATGGTTTAGATTATTTCTGAAGTACGTTTTAATTAGTAATATAAACAATGTTTATATTACTACACATTATTATTATTATTATTATTATTATTATTATTATTATTATTATTATTATTATTACTATATGCAAATAATATATTGAATATCTTAACGAAATGCATTGACGAATCTTAACGAATGCATCTTAATGAGATGCCTGAAGGCATCTAACGACTAGGAAATTAGATAACTTTGAAATAATTTTTCCAATTATATAACTCATGTGTCTCAGAAGATAAGAAGTAATTAAGTCAAACTTTACGTTAGAAATTCTGAACCCAATGTTAAGATATGAGTAATTTCGAATCTACCTTGTACTCTCAAGGGCATCTAACCTCAAGGACAACTTAGAGGTGATACCAAACCGTTCAGTGTTGTTATAGCTTACGAACCGAAAATGACATTACCCCAGTGCAACTTCGCCTCTGACAGAAAAGGCCCAATTCGAAGAAAGCATCGATATTCTAAAATTTTTCTCCTTCATCTCTCGACAGGCAAGTCGGCAGGCAAGGCGGGCGTGTTGGCGTGGAAGTGGACGGGCGAATCGGTGGGTGTGCGTGTCGTTGCGGGGGCGTGTCGGCGTGGATGCTAGGGGAAGGAGTGCGGAAGGGGTCGGCGTGCGTGTCGGCAAGAAGGCATGTTGGTATGTCGGCTTGAAAGTGCGGGAGAAGGGTTGTGGGGCGTAGCACGTGTTGGCGGAGGGTGCGAGGAGTGTCGTGGGTGCGTGTCGGCTAGGAAGTGCAGGAGTGTGTTGTGGGGGCGTGTCGTTATGGGGTTCTGCAGGCATGTCCGCCGAGAATATCGGGGCGTGTCGGCTGAAGGAGAATGAGGGCGTGTCGGCGTGAGCGCGTGTGGTGTGCTGGAGGAGAGCGAGGAGGTGTCTGCGCGGGTGTGTGTCGTGAGGTGTTATGGGCTTGTCGGCTTGGGAGAGCGAGAGCGAGTTGGCGTGAGTGCGTGCCGGTTGGGAGAGAGCGAGGGTGTGTGGATGTGGGTTTGTGTGTCGTTGTGGGATTTTATCTGTGTTTTATCTGTTGTGGAGTTTTGTGGGCGTGTCGCCTCGGGATATAAGGGGTGTGGCAGAGACTGGAGTGCGAGGGCGTGTTGACGTGGGCTTGGGACGGCAAGGGCGTGACGGCGTGAGCGTATGTCGGTTGGGAAAGAGCGGGGATACGTTTGCGTGGGTGCGTGTCGGGTTTATTATCGGTGTGTCGCCATGGGAGTTGGGAGCGTGTCAGAGTATGGAGTGCGAGAGCTCGTCAGCGTGAACGTAGGTCGGCTTGGGAGAGCGAGGGCCTGTCGGAGTGCGTGCGTGTCGGCAAGGAAGAGCGTTGATGGGAGCTGAAGACGTGTCGTATGAGAAGTTCGGAGCGTGTCGGCTGGGGGAGAGCGGGGATGTGTTTGCGTGGGCGCATGTCGACTTTTGAGGCCCACACGTTTGAGCGTCCCAGTGCCTGGCAGGTGACGGCGCCTGCGGCCGCGAGGGGGGGTGGCGAATGTGTTGGCCGGGCGCCAGCGACTCTGACCTGCCCCTCACCTACCTCTCCCTCCCCCCCTTCTCGCTCTCGATAACATGCCGCCAGGCCCACCGTTCCAATTGATAGTCAACATTACCAACGTTTTACGCGATGCCAAAGAACTCTTCTAAATTGTTGGAGGTTGAATTCTTCCACCTGCAATTATGTTAATGGTACTAAATTTATAGATAGTGCAGAAACAAAAGATTATTAAAGGGGAATATTTGTGAAGAAATCGTTGAATTCCAGTATTAGTTTCAATGCCATTAAATCATGAGAAATATCCATTATCTTTGGAAATCTAAAAGTATATTAAGGAAAATAATTTTATGAGATTTGAAATTATGGTATGTAGGCTCTATTCTAAAGGGTTAGAAGAGAAATATCTGGTAGCTAAAGTAGAGAACACAGAATAGGGTGTAAAATGTATGTTATTTGAAGGGGTTGAATAAACAAAGATGCGCGTTTTTTATTGTCAAGATTTTTCTTTTTTTTAAATTAACTTAGGCACGGGTGAGAAAACAATTTTGTGCAGAATAATCTAATACTGCGTAAGAATCATATTCATTTGGTGTTCACTAGAAAATGGGAGCACATGTTCAAATTTCACTAAATTATATTTCAGCAAACTATGTATAACAGTATCAACGCAATCGGGCTAGTCTTTCCAGAGATTGGCTCAGAAAAACACTGTAAAAAAGTTATTTGATGTAAATAACCATAAGATTTTATAAAAAGGCAGTTCTTTTGAAATCGCAGAAAGACACTTCATTTTATTCAGCTAGGTCAACAACTAGCCTATTAACCGGCGTAGCATTTGTATTTATTTATGGCATCGTACATTAGACAGCCCTGCTTGCTGGCCCTCTTTGCTCGCGCCCGCTCGCGACACCCGGTCAGCTCGACAAAACCATTTCCCCACTCTCTTCCTCTCCCCTCCACTAGCCCGCTTGTTACCTTGGGGTGCTACGATTGCAGTTACCACCATCACCGATGCTGTGTGCAGCATTACATGTTTTGTGGGCTACACTATATCTAATTGGTAAATGTTACTCCTTCCCATCTTCCTAACTCCGGGATGCTAGAGATGGGCACATTTTTTGAGACTATGCATAATAGATGCACCGATTGGCGCGGCTTTATAATTTATGTTGAAACACGCATGCATATTTGTGTAGTACCAGATTACACTGGTCAACATGATTTTTGTCTCACGAGACCGGTACACCAATATATATCTGTTGTTTATAGTGTTCTAGGTTTGTCACTGCATGGAAGAGTGGCACCCACTTGCCATTTGCTATTCCTATGATTTGGAAGGAACCCATAGATCACTCCTCTGACTGGTACTTATGATATAATACGCTAACTCTAACTTGCAATCTGCGATGAGACCAGTTTCACCCTGTGAAGAGTTACCCACGCCAAAACCTCGAGAGCACGCGACAAATATAGAGAGTTTTGATTCTGATAGAAGTATGGAAACAAATTAAACAGATTCTTCTGGTGATACATTTTGAACAAAGCTGTTCATGTGAGCCTCATTTAATGACACTAGGAGTTCTCAAAGATTACATATGATGTTTAAAGTTATCTAGAAACAATCTGAAATGCCTCCGTTACATATAAAATTAGGGCTAATGAATTTCATCAAAGACATAGACATTACTCTTGGTTTCAGATACTTAAAACGCAAGTTTTCTAAAACTAGTGAAGCAAAAACTAGAGAAGGAATATTTGTGGGTCCTCAAGTACGATCATTCATGCATGTTGAAACGTTTGTGGATCCATTGAATTCACCTGAGAAAGCAGCTAGGCAGGCATTCAAAAATGTTAGTTTTCTTGGGAAATCGGAAGGTGGAGGAATTGTTAACTCTCTTACAATATCTTTTAAAATGTGGGTTATAATATGTCCTTAAAAACAGTTTCTGTACAAGCATCCTCGTTTCTTCCCGGAAAATCTTGTCACAGTGAGTGATGAGCATGGGGGAACACATTCATCTGGAGATTTTAGCTCTGGAAAAGATAAATTAAAGCAAATGGCATCCTACTCTCTTGGTCGATTATTGGTGGACCAATAAAGGAGATGATATGCAGGCAAAATGTAGCAGAAAAATCGTCATTTCTTACTTTCTAGGCGAGTGAAAATGTTTGAATATTGTGAAGTCAAGAATGCAAAATATTAAAATGTTTGAAATTATTAAATGTTTATCTCTCTGAAGCCTCGCGTGATGGAGAAAAACTAATATCATATTTAAATTTATGAGAAAAAATACTATCAGAATCACATATTTTATTTCTGAGACAAAAAAGGTTATTTTTTTGATCCCTAGTGATATTCGGCAAACGCATTATTCGCATTTGGCCAAATTCGCTATTTATGTGTCACAATCTTCTATTAACACACTCACCTGCCCTCCTCCCCACCCTAGTTACCCCCCCCCCCACCGACGCACCGAAATGCATGCCCCTGCCCTTCCTCGCCGAACCTGGATGAAGGACGGGTTGCATACACATTTTATTTGTACACAGCACATGCCATCCATTCCTAGGGAAGCTAGATGTGACCGTCATCATATTCGCTCAAATCATGTCATATTTGTATAAAGTTTGGTCAAGAGTGCTCCAGGCGTTCCAGAATTATACTGAAACACGCATACACACATGCTTCCATTTTAAACGAGATATATTGTTCTTTGCTAGTTCTTATTTCTTAAATGTTTTTCATCGTATTTTTCTTCTTCCTTGTCTTAATTTGTTTCGTTCCCCTCTTCATAAACGTTTCATTTATTCTGTCGTTTTATTTTCGCTCGCCCTACTTTTCTTTGTGGGGGTGCTTCTCTTTTTACTTTACTATGCCAAGAGATTTTACAACCAGATGCCCTTCTTGACGTAAACCTCCTCCTGCTTCCTGGTCTCACTACTCAAGAAACTAAATTTTCACATCCTGTAGTACTATTTAACTATTAGTGTTGCATTTCTAAGCTAGATTTGAAACGTCAGAATTTAATAATACCGATCAACACAAAAGAAAATTGAAAACAAAGACTCGGAAGAAGAATTACAATAACCGAGAAATTAGATACAAATTAAAATACATCTCAGAAATTTACAAATCATGTAAGATATCTTTATTTTTTTCTTAGAACTTCTCTGAATTGGAGCTTATCACGAGTATTTGGAGTAATTCTAAGAGTAATGTAAGGTTAATCACAGGAATACGTTTGTTATATGAGTACTTATGTTTTTCACAATAAATTTTAAATACCGTAACGTATATATTGTGACGTTTCATTTAACAATTTCGTATTGATTTTGCATTAGAAAGACCTAATACTATATCACTCTGCTCTTAATTTTTATCTACGATATATATTAACCTAAAATTAGTTATATTTCACTTTAGAGGATGAAGTTCCACTATCGTGCATAACGAGAGAGTAGACACGAAGTCGGTTCCCGAAAGAGGAAGGGCGGTGGCTGGAAGGAGAGGCGGTCCGGCAGCGGGTGGAGACGCCGTTGGCTGCGTTCTAATTCGAGAGCCTTCGATGCGCCCCAAAGAGCATTCCGACTCGAGTGACTGGCGGCAGCGAAAACGCCGCCGGAAGAAGCTAGAGCGCCCACCTCGCGGAGCGAAGCGACTTTCCGAAGCGCTTTGAGCCCTGCGCCCCCCCCCCCCATGCTCTATGAGGGCACGACTTCGCGATGACACCGCATGTCGAACGATAACTACTCACACGTTTGGAGGGGGCGCGTGTTCCCAAACACCTCGTTTTTGTGAATGGGATACTTAAAACTGGGAATGGAATTAATTTTTTTTCATTCCAGGAACGTCGTTACGAACGAAACCAGTGCCAATTTGAAAGACAAAAATAATAGTATGTCTCCTAAGTTGTATTTTCCCCCGAGGAGGGGAAATGCGCTACGCATACCCGTGAGGCCGGTTATGTCGGACTCTCCAGTATGGCATGCCGACTAAAACCTAATCTCCTCATGGGTTCGTAGGCTTCCGCGGCCGGAGTCAATGTATTCTTGGCTACCCGGGATGAGCCGCGTCTCGGTCAATGTCACTGACGTTTCTGCCATCTTGCTGTGGCCTTCTTCAGTGCTATACGCATATCAGAGTACAGCTGTGAAGAAGGCCCTAGCAAGATGGCCGAAACGTCAGTAACATTGACCGAGACGCAGCGCATTCCGGATAGCCAAGAATGCACTAACCGCCTCATTTCTCTCGAGCCGGGGTATCTTCTTCGCGGGACCGTCGTTGAGACATTACTTCGCGCAGAAGATTGGATGGCAGCATGAGCTTTGCTCTTCAGGTGATCGCTATGGTGTTTTAGCTCTCTCTGCTTTTAGTGATAGATTTCTGTTGTGTTACATGAGCCACGAAGCCTCGTACTTTCTTCCAGTTGTTTCTAAGCACCATTTTAAAAATATATAAAACGTTTCATTGAATAATAAATTGCAGAATTACTTGCTGAAAACCTTTTTCAAACAAATGGGTCCTATTAAAAGAATACAATATTTTTGTTTATTGCAAACATTACTTACTGAATCAATCATTATTCTGTATCAGAGAATATACTGTAAAGATTTTAATAGTAATGTCCTGATGACATACGAATTAGTAGTTTTAATTAGCACAAATTGAAACTCAAACGCATACCTATATTTCAATCACAGTCCATTGAACTAAACGTATTTTGATGAAATTACTAATTAATAAAATTTAAATACTTGGTAACATTGAATGAATGGAGAATTTTGTTATATGAAAGAATCATTATTTTTGGAGCCAGGAGAACAAAAAAATTGTCTTTATATGCTAAAAAGGAAATTTAATCTGCAAAATATAATGCTTAAATTTATTATTATATAATATTAATTTATTATTATAATAAATTAACCTGCTTAATTGTGAAAGCTATTCACTATTAATTTATAATTCTGGTAATAAATTAAAAATATTTAATGCTTTTGTTTCACACAATAAAAATATCAAAATATTTCTGCTTTTAACACGTTCTTTCTTTCGTGCTTTCAACTCTCCTTAACTTAAAGCATGCAAAAACGAAGTTGAAATTATTTTTTAAAAAAATATTAGTAACTAGAACGAGTGAGTGATATTCTTGAAATTAATTTGTCGATTATTATATGATAAAGACATTTTTTCGTTCACGGGACTGTGAATGTAGTGGTCTTGTGGTTTATCTGTACAAGAGATGAAGAAAATCGATAGCAAACCCTTGAGTTCTGTTCATATCATTTTTGTTATGAGTTTGTTACTCTGTATTAATTCTTATTTAGAAATGAAATATTTGTGCTAAAAAGTTAGTGTAACCACATAATTAAAGATGTTGTCATTGCTAACAATGTTTTTTAATTCAAAAGCAGCTTTCGATGGCTTAGCCATCATCATCAGTTGTCTGCTAGATGGAAGCCACAAAACGACTACCTACCACAACACCTATAGTGTAACCACATACAAACATCAAGAAATATCTTGCTGCAAAAAGTTGTCTATATTGTGGATTAAAAACGAAGTCAATTTCAATCTTGAATCTATGAATTAATTCCACTTATGCCCGGATGGAATGTTTCATTGATATAAAGTTATGCACTGTTACATTCGTCAAACCAGAGAACATGTTTCATAATATTTCGAAACTCATAACCATTGACGTAATATATTGACTTCAATATCTCTAGTTAGAAAATGTTTACGCAATATTACGTCAGTATGATGTACCACATGACGCTGGCTGCTAGATTTAATTGATTCAGACATAAACTGCACGCATTTGAGAAATAATGCAATGTAAATATTTAATAAACGCGGACATGCCCAGAAAAGTTGAACTCGAGCTTGTTATTAATATTTACGTTTCAGGATGTTTAAACATTCGAAAAATAATTAATGAAACATTACCAACAATGGAACATTACGTCTTTAACGTTTATGACTATTTAAAATTAAAGGAATATATTGCCTATAAATAAAATCTTTATAAAAAATGCGAAAGATCCGTAATATCAGATATTTTATAAAAATACTTTAATATCTGTTGCAAAATCTGTTTGATAATATTCGATTCTCCTCCTGTTACACTATTCAATCTGTTTTCAATATTTAAATCTTTCTTTTTTTACATAACCTTAAAATAAAATTATATTTTCCATTTCTATTTCAAAATATTGATAAACTTTGTTTTATTGTAATGAATGCATATACAATATGTTATGTCCCTATATACTCGTGCATTTACTAATTCGACTTCTTTTGTTAAAAGAAGCCTTCTAATTAAGTTTATAATATATTCAATAAAATATTATTTGACAAATTTGAAACTCAAACTCTCCCCTGCCTCATAATTGTGTTTCCATAGATAGGCAATCTGTTGACAGAAAATAACTGTCTAATTGCTAATGTGATTTTAAAATCTTTAAATTACTTTCGATTCTTTCTGTTGCTTCTAACTTGCACATTATTATCATATTTATTTATTAACATTTTAAAATAGTTATCGGGAGAATTGACTTTTTCTCATTCGATTTTAATTCTGGAATATTGCCGTTCTTTCTTAGAAATACTGAGTAGCCTTGTAACTTCTAGTAACTTCTAATAACTTCTTGGTATATACATTGCTTCACATATAGAGCATTGGTATGCATATACACCTTTGGTATCACATTCCACAGCAATGTGAACTTCATCCATAGATAGGAAATGCTGATCTACTACTTCATTTGTTCTGGGGATTAAATATAGCTACACTTCTCCCCGGACGTCAGATGCAATATAAAACACAGACAGACGAAACAAATTATTTTTAACTATAGCAGAAACGCTAAGGGACTGTCCACTACGCTACGTGATATTCACTTTCTCGACCGTTCGTACAGTTTATTATGAATAGCCTTCCGAGATGACCTTCCTGATGTAGTTCAGAGAAGAACTGACGCAAGGCATCTGGCACTTCACACTTGGGATTTTTTAGCATTGAGTTTCATCGCACTTGAAATCAACGTTTTGAACATTTAAAGTACTACATATTTACATTTGTTTTTTGTCTATTTTATT